AGCTGCCTAAGCTGCAGATTTTTTTCTCTTATCAGGCTGTTGTCTGGCGCTCTCTCATCTGTGCGCTCTCTCGCCTCATACTCTCCTCTCCGCGCTTAGTCTCTCATTCCCTTAGCACAGCCGATTAGGAAGGTGAGTGAGCCCTCAACCTAAGCGTTTTCGACGGATTCTTTTCCTTTTTTCTTCACTGCCGGCCCACTTGCACCAATACATTCACATTCGTGTGCAAGAGCCACACCAATGTGATCCTGGGGCATGCCTTTAACTTGAAGCGCGAACCAGCCAACAGTACGCGCTGGCGACTCGCCCGCTGATTATGCTTTGTTGCCGCGCACGGCCTCTTGTCATAGTACCAAAAGGTCATGCTGAGCCATTTGGCCAAAACCACTCTAGGATGCCGTCCCAAATCCAATCCGTACCAAAACCAAATCGAATCGCCTGGAAATTAGTGATGACCTGGACGCCTCCTATGCTAAGCCATCGATTGTACTTTCCTCCGAATAACGAATTCCCGTAATTTCCCCAACAACCCTGCGTGTCGTATACTCCACTTCAACATGACGTACGAAAGTTACTACATCAACGAGCGCGCCGTGACTATTTGTATGGCAGCTAATTTGAAGGAAGCTAGTATCTTTACTACTGATTCGATGCAGATTTTCGACAACCCTTCCCCTGCATGCGTAAGAACTTACATTACCTTACCCTGCGTCTTACTACCTCAGAAACTACTATTCGTATACTTGTAACTGACTGCTAGGCGATGCCTCCCGATCTGAAGAGAGCTAGCTGCTGGTGAACAAGTTCATTTCAGGCCGGTTCAATTGAGCGGAGTCCCACGATTCAATCGCAGCCAATCACTACGACGGAGAAATCTTCGAAAGACTGGTCTAACATGAACTGTTTCCGGAACACTGCATCAAGATGTTTATAAATAGTGCGCAGAGACCAATAACAATTGAAACAATAACAACACAAATATTAGAAGTTCTCAAAGTCCCTTTGAGCAATAACGTATTCCTAATTATTGTACATTTTCTATTCACATCAATCTACTAATCTATTCAATTGAAAGCACACAGCCTTTCAAAATAATGCGGATTGAAGGCACTGAGGTACATAGTTGCTGTTTTCTCATCTCTCGGCCGAGCTAAACGAAAACTCATTAAGGATACTTCACCTCCTTAGAGAGTCAAAAACATGGCCCACTAAATACTACGGCAGTCACCCTCGAAAATTCTATCGGGCAAGCTCTTGATAGTACATACCACCATTAGCAACCCAGTTTTTTTCAGCACCCTCGTCAGCAAAAGTTTTGAGGCAATGCCACTGGCTCTGAAACTAATCCTGCACTCCTTTAGTACACTTCACGATTATTTGGTTGGCCGGCCCTTTCACGTTATTTCTATTCACTTCCTTTACCGTGCAAGAAGAAATGCAGATTACAATTTTTCTAAAGCGCTCTATCGCATCACGACAGATGCGTGTCTAACATTGCAGACCACGTGGGACATTGTGACGCGGCTGCGCAGTACCGTATGTCACCCGTTTTTTCTCGCATGTGCGTGACTTCTTTCCAACTTGTTTGTATTTAGCGACATGGCTCGCATTATGGTCAAATATATAATACTTCACTTTACAGAGGTTTTCCGCATATGAGATATCCAGTTCGGTTCATTCCTCGTTTACGTTTCAATCTCATAGACATGTAAATAGAAAAAGGAGTATTAATAGTCAACATAAACCTTTACGAAGAGAGGGTTCGACAGGGCGACACCATCTCGCCCAAACTCTTCAGCGCCGCTCTCGAGAACGTCATGCGTCAACTGGAATGGGAAGACATGGGAGTGAAGGTCGACGGCCGGCAACTACACCACCTTCGTTTTGCTGACGACATCGTTCTTATAACGCCGAACATCGAGCAAGCGGAGCGAATGCTGGCTGATTTCGACTGCGCCTGTGGTAAGGTCGGTCTACAGCTGAACCTAACGAAGACGATGTTTATGAGAAACGGATTGGTTCCTGATGCCCCATTCACGCTCAACGGAACGAACATCACCGAATGCTCCAGCTACGTGTACCTAGGTCGGGAAATCAATATGATGAACGACCTAGCTCCAGAGCTGAGCAGGAGGAAAAACCCGCGGTAAGGGAGCATTAAGAGCATCGCGGGTAGTTAGTGAAGAAGACGAAGAACATCCGGCTCCGTGCCCACCCACCTCTTCGATTCCGCTGTCCTTCCTGCCCTAACCTACGCCTCAGAGACTTGGACTCTGCGCAGGCAGGACGAGCATGCGGTCAGCGTTATCCAACGCGCTGTCGAGAGGACGATGCTAGGAGTAACCCTATACACGCAAGTGCAGAGGGGAATCCGGAGTGCCGAACTACGCCAACGATCGAAGATCAGGGACGCTGCCGTTTTCGCCAAGGAATCGAAGATAAGGTGGGCCGGACACGTCATGCGATTTTGCGATGACCGTTGGACCAGAGCGGTTACCGACTGGATCCCTCGGGACGTCAAACGAACACCTGGACGACCGCCGGCCCGATGGTCAGACTTCTTCACGAAAGCTCTGAACGAAAGGAATGAAGGACATCGTGTCCCTCGAGCGAGGAGGGTCCACTGGACAACTCTTGCACGCGACAGGGACGAATGGAGACGTTGCTGGCGCCCGCTCGAGCAATTCGATGATCAACGGGACGACAGGTGATACAGGTGATATTTTTTATCATAGCTCGTTTAAGCAGATAATTTTTTAGATATTTTTTTTTCTCCTGAGTATGATAACTGGGAGCTAAAATAGCATGCAACGATGCCTGGAGGCACAACTATCCGAAACATGAGTTATCGATTAGATTCCCGCCGGAGAAGAGGAGGGGAAGAACTTTTGCCAATGATCGCTCGATTTTGATTCTTGCTTTCCACAGTCTTTCAATGTTCAAAAGTTCGTTGCTGTTTACTGTGAGGATTTGGCGAAAAGCAGCAGTTAACAAACATACAAGCTAATAATAACTAAAATTTTCTTATGTCCTTAATTGCATTGGACATACCTTTCTCGGTTGTAAGCCATCCTCTTATCGTAGTAATACTGATACATGTTACTGACTTCTCCTTTCGTGTATTGTTTAGTTTCGATTGGTAGAAAGGGCTGAAAACCGTAACTGTGCATATTGGTGAAACAATGACCAGAGTAACATAAAGGACCAAAATTTAGAATCGAATTGAGAAACCTCAATGAAATGGAATCCTTCTTCTCCGAACAATTCCAAAGGAGTATGTCTTGAGGACAGTGAACAAGATCCGCGCAGCATCCTGAGCACCTGCTTTTTTGTCAGCTACCAACAAAATACATCCGTTTTGCTTAAAAAATGGTATCACAGAGCGAAAAATCTTGGAAAGAGTTGAAGTTGTGATATCAAATGGAGCAAGTCTCACCCATCCCGGAGCGATCAAGTTTCTATAATGGTTCACGAGAGTCGAGTATCAGAAAGGGGAGGCAAATCGCAAAATTGTCAGAACGCAGATTATTAGGATGCCAAAAGTCAACGAGATCTACCGAAATGATCACTGTTAACTTACATAGCTCCTGTCAGCTTTTTTGACCAAAGTCTTACCCCAGAGAGAATTCGTGTCGTCAATAGCAACAAACAGCTAAATAAAAAAAATTATTGTCCATGAAAGACTAAATTCTGATTTCCTTGAAAAATTCTGAAACTGACAGTTATACTGGCGGTAGACGAATGTCGTTTCAATTCTCGAAACAAAGCTCCCACACAATCAGTGGCAAGGAATGGCGCCGATAATCCCTTAAAAGCGGATTAAATACTAGGAAAACACGAAAGAAAAGAGTGGAAAGTCTTATATCTTGCATTCTATATACGAAGTGCTAATGTCAGCCTGTCCGTCTATTCGCCGCAAAATTCTTGAACCAGCGATCAAACATGGGATACGATGTGAACGGGACCAAATATATGAAGCATGATGAACTAACCAGACGGTCTGTTCCGGACGATGGAGCGCTTTTCCCAAACGGAATTTTTTGCATATATAGGGGTACGTGTAACAGGCACGAACTATGCTTCCATTTTTCTCGAACGGTCCTTATAATAAACAAAAAGAGCAGTTGGCTACTGTCATTTCAAGAGGTGCTCTCGGTTAGGCCGTACATTGAATATAACAAAGTTTGGACATCGTGATGTAGCACTGCTTCATCTCTGTACCCGAAGTTCCGGATGAAACAAGGGAAAACAAGATTTTGACGTAACTTTGTAGGATGAGACCCCCACAGGTATTATACAGCCCGTTGTGTCCCCGGGTGGTTAATAGACGAAGCTCGACCGGTAGTCGGGGATGCATCTAAGCATTCACACGGAAGGCACTTTATAGGGCACTACTCTCATTTTGAGGAGGTGACGACGGGAGATTGCATCTACACCATGGCACCTGGCGAACTACTGATCTCCCCATGGATCAGTGCAACTGTTCGAAGTTGGGTCGAAATCTTGCATTTCTCTGAAACTTGGGGTATAGAGGTTATTCAGAATATGTTTACTCGCTTTCTGGTGTTATGCGTATTCTGAAGGTCATATAACCACTGGGCTGCCCCAATGGACAACGTTCTGGTCGTTGCACATTCTTCACAAGTTTTTTGGTCAAAGTCTAAAGCTTGCTGATGGTCTTCATTATAGATGTGACATATCTTGTTCACGCTGACGCCATTTTTCGTAACTTTTGAAGCGCCAACACAAAGTGCAAAAAAATTGTTCCGGCGAGGATCGCCACTTGGACCTCTTCATCACATCATTTATGACACCCTTGGTTTTCCCCCCACCCACCACTATAACGTGCACCAAACCGCTTTGAAAAAGCGTTCCACGTCCTGAACGACCTCCCTGGTAAGCGAGCTCTTCCAGCGTCTGAAGATGCGCACAATAAAACGAGCGGCGCTAAAAACAGACATTATAACTGAGTTGCAGGAGTGTATGCTGCACGTCTACGCCGAGAAATGGAAACCCACTCCCTTAGTCTTAAAAAGCTCCGCACGATGTGCTATCTGTGTCTCCCGCCAGTGTGAGGTTTAGAGATACATCCTAGGTACATCGGCGTAGGCGGTTTATTCTAAGAATGGTGAAGTTGATAATAAAAAAAACAACAAGACAGTGGCCGGAAGGCCCGTATCGCCAAAGACGCAACGCAATGCACAGGGCTGATATCTAGAACAGTAGTTAAGCTCCCAGCAGCTGTAATCGTTCGAGAAAGGGTGTGACAACTTAAGCAAAGATAGAATGATCACCGCGCAGCATGGACCTGCGCGGAGGCAGTGAAAAGCAACAGACTCTGTCTTGAAACACGCTGACCCCATGAAAGAAGCCGACGTTAACAACTGATTGTGTATTAGTGAATAATGAGATAAATTACAGAACATACAATTTCAACGATGTCTGTTATGGGCTTGTCAACAGCTGTACGCTCGTTTCTTGTCCATACATAGTCGCGTTCTGTCTTCAGTTCACTCAGAGTCTTCCAAACGTGCTGATTCTATAGCAAATGCACATAGCAACGTCATTATTCACAGTAAATGAATTTCGAACGGATATAGTGAATCTATCCATAACACCTCGAGCAAACAAGCGTATTTCTTCCAATTCAGTTTTCGCAGTCACATGAAGTGACGCCTCCGCTGCACTTTATTCCGTCTATTTTTATGCTCCCAAATTTCATTACAAACATAGAAGTAGTGGAATATCGACGAAATAATGGATGGTTACAGTTTTTCGGTAAAAAATTGGAGATACACGTACTACGGTGGTCCGTGAAGTACGAAGGTACGCCAAGTATTAGTTTAATGCATGAAAGCGACATGGGTGAAACAAAAATATCATTTATTTCAAAGGGACCTGCCTGTTCTTTGAACTGCTGAAGAATAGCGACAGCATTTGCAGGATCATTAATGCGCCCTTGTTTGAACGTGGACATCTCCACTTCGTTCACATCGCGCGTTAGCAACATTGCTGAAAAAACTCTAATAGAAGACCAATAGCAATGTGCCGTCCGTGTCTGAAGCTCTAAAAGTGAAAAAGTATTAATTGGCTCTACCCAATAAGTTCTGGAGGCTTCTTTGTGGGTAAAATGAATTTGCTCAAAATCACAAATATACCGTCTTTCGCGCAGACAGTGCGCGCAAATGATAGTGGCCTTAGAAAGTGGCTGGATGAGAGGAAAAATGAGCTAGTGGACATAATAGGCACGCGAAGAGTGTCACGACGTAGCGTATAAGATGTCGATCAGACTCGGCGATTGCAACGCGATGGACCATCGACGAACGACGCGATCGCTCATGTGCAGACGCAGATTATTAGGATGCAAAATCAACGAGACCGACGAAATGATCACTGTTAACTTACATAGCTCCTGTCAGCTTTTTTGACCAAAGTCTTACCCCAGAGAGAATTCGTGTCGTCAATAGCAACAAACAGCTAAATAAAAAAATTATTGTTCATGAAAGACTAAATTCTGATTTCCCTTGAAAAATTCTGAAACTGACAGTTATACTGGCGGTAGACGAATGTCGTTTCAACTCCCGAAACAAAGCTCCCACACAATCAGTGGCAAGGAATGGCGCCGATAATCCCTTAAAGCGGATTAATTACAAGGAAAACACGAAATAAAATAGTGAAAATAGTGGATTTTAACTACTCCTATTATATTCCTTGTACACAAAGCGCTAATGCTAGCATGTCTGTCTGTTCGCCACAAAATTCTTGGGAACCAGGATCAAATTTGGGATAGATGTGATACAGGACCAAATATATGGAGCATGCATGAACTAAGTGGAGCTCTACCAGCTAGTAAAGGGACTCACAATAGCATGAGAGGCGCCAGGAACAGACATTCCAAATGAGTTTTAGGAGTGCACTTCTCCGCCGAGAAATAGGAACTCAGCCCATGAGCACAGCACGATGTGCTTCATGTGGTCTCACAGCAATGCGAGTGTAGGGAGGGAATAGGCTCATAGGAGCAAGGGCTTAATTAGAAACGTGTGAAGTACGCTGACTGAAACTAACTTCCTCCTCCTTCTCCTCCTCCCCCCTCCTTCAGAACACCAAAGAGTCTGGTGGCAATGGAAGGCAGTTACCCTAAAGATGCAGCGTAATGAGCAGGGCTGGAATCTAAAACCTTAGTTAAACTCCCAGAAAACTGCACGTTGGGAAAGTGGACATGAATTAGCAGAGAAGAATGATCACAGTAGATCGGACCTGCGGCGCGAAGGCAGTAAAAATCAAAAGTTATCTCTTCTGGGAACCACTCACCCCATGAGATAAACCCGTTAACGAGTGATTGTTGTATTAGTAAATTATGAGATAAATTACGGAACATACAATTTCAACAATGTCTGTTATGGGCTTGTCAACTGCTGTACGCTCATTTCTTGTCCATACATAGTCGCGTTCTGTCTTGAGTTCACTCAGAGTCTTCCAAACGTGCTGATTCTAAAGCAGACGCACACGGCAACTTCATTGCTAACAGTAAATGAATTTCGAACAATGATAGCGAATATATTTCTAGCATCTCGACTGAACAAGCGTACTTTCCCCACCACGGTTTACGCGGTCACATAAAGCACATCCCCTTCCTTTTTTTGCATATTTTCGTGCTCCAAAATTTCATTACAAACCCAGAAGTAGTGGAATATCGACGAAATAATGGATGATTACAGTTTTTCGGTAAAAAATTGGAGATACACGTACTACGGTGGTCCGTGAAGTACGAAGGTACGTCAAGTATTAGTTTAATGCATGAAAGCGACATTGGATGAAACGAAAATATCATTTATTTCAAAAAGGGACCTGCCTGTTCTTTGAACTGCTGAAGAATAGCGACAGCATTTGCAGGATCATTAATACGCCCTTGTTTGAACGTGGACATCTCCACTTCGTTCACATCGCGCGTTAGCAACATTGCTGAAAAATTACTCCAATATAAGACCAACAGCAATGTGCCGTTCGCGTCTGAAGCTTCAAAAAGTTGAAAAAGGTATCTAATATCTCTACCGGATCGGATCTACGGATCTACCTAAAGCAACAACCCTAGATAAGGTCGAGTGGAGCGATCTTTTGTGGGTAGGATCATGTTGCCCCAGGAATCACAAATATGCCGTTTTCGCGGCTCAGAAGTGTGCGACAATGATGCTAGGGCCTTAGAAAGTGGGCTGATGAGAGGAAAAGGAGCTGGTGGACGAAGTACCTCTCGCTTACCGCTAGCACGCGAAGATGTCACGACATAGCGGATAAGATGTCGGTCAGACTCGGCGATTGCAACGCGATGGACCAGCGACGGAGCGACGCGATCGCTCCATCGCTTGTCCATCGCGTCACAATCGCCGAGTCTGACCGACACCTTAGATGCCCGATAGGCAGACGTGACAGTCTCATCCCATTGTGTTCAAAAAACTCCTCCAGATACACTCTTTCCTTGGCATCATTATAAAGCGCTGTTAACTCATCAACTTGATCCAGGGTTATCCCTTTAAGCTTGATTCATAAAACGCTTATAAATAGAATCATTCACGAGTCGTCGAATAAATGAACTATATTCAAAACAAAATGTATAACACTCACCACTCCACAGTTGGATGACGACCATCTTTTTTGTGTAGGCGAGATGAACCGCTTGGTTTAAGGTCACTGACTTCCCAGTGCCGAAAGGGCCCCATAAGACTAGACGAAGAGCGGGAAAAGACTGCCGCACTGCGTTCATGCACATTGATACCTGGACAGATCAACTGAAACGTCTATTTCAGTAGGGCTGTAAAGTATTATGGAGATACCTCTATCAGTGGCTCTCTTATCATTGTCACCAATTCATCAAGAGTATCATACTGCCTTGCAAGAAAACGTGGAAGCATTCGCTTGTAGCCCAAAGCCTCGACCTCTTCCTTGGGAATTTTATAAAGTCGACCAACATCAGATATGGAAAACTGCTCCTGGAAATTCACTACCTGAATGAGACTCATTTCGAAGTAAATACTGGGGGAGACCGGTCCTATGATTATTGGCTTTTGAATAAAACATGTGCTTTTATGCAATTCATACTACTTTTTGTCGTGTGGGCTACTTGGTCAACATTACGACATCTTTCAGCCGAGTTCACACAGCCCATCGCCAGGTGCCGACGATGACGATTACCGCGCGACGTCATGCGCAGTCACAACTTGAATTTGTGCATTCAGTCTGGACTAAATCGTAAAATTATGTGAATTGTGCAGCGTTAATGGGTCAATCGCTGAGACTCTCAAAACGCTGTGATTGTAGCCTTAGGAGCGATGCAGCCTCATCAATGGAGTAGCCTGAGAGAGATTTTGTTTTGTGCCGTCTTGCAGGCTTGTGCA